TCTGTCCCTCGGTCCCCTCAGTGGTCCCTCGGTGCCCAAATCCATCCATCTGTCCTCAAATCTGTCCCTCGGTCCCCTTGGTGGTCCTCTGGCGCCCAAATCTGTCCCTCTGTCCCCAAATCCATCCCTCTGTCCCCTCAGTGGTCCCTCTGTCCTCAAATCTGCCCCTCCGTCCCCAAATCCGTCCCTCTGTCCCCAGACCTGCTCCTCTGGATGACCTTGGCACGTTTTTTGTACGTTTCCCTTGGCACGTGCCACCTGCATGTCCTTGACGTGTCCTTGGAATGTGCACCACTCATGTCCTCGGCCAGTGCCCCCTTGGCGTGTCCTTGGCATGTCCTTGGCGTGTCCCCCCCGTGCCCTTCTCCACCTCCCCTCGGTGTGCCCATGGCAATGCCAACGCGTGCCCTTGGCGTGTCCTTGCCGTATCCCTCCCGCTCCCTTCTCCACCTCCCCTCCATGTGCCCGTGGCAGTGCTAACGCGTGCCCTTAGCGTGTCCTTGCCGTGTCCTTGGCGTGTCCCCCCCCGCCCCCTTCTCCGCGTGCCCGCGGCGGTGCCAACGCGCGCCCTTGGCGTGTCCTTGCCGTGTCCTTACCATGTCCCCCTCCTCCCCCTCCTCCACCTCCCCTCCGCGTGCCCATGGCGGTGCCAACGCGCGCCCTTGGCGTGTCCTTGGCGTGTGCAGGCGGCGCTGGTGGAGAAGCGGATCCTGGCGCGCGTCCACAGCCGCTTCATCGTGTCCTTGGCCTGCGCCTTCCAGACCAAGACCGACCTCTGCCTCGTCATGACCATCATGAACGGCGGCGACCTGCGGTACGGGGGGGACTTGGCGTGGCCTTGGCGTGGCCTTGGCGTGGCCTTGGCATGTCCCCAAGGGCTGGGGTGTCCCCCGTGTCCTTGGCATGTCCCTACCACGTCCCCAAGGCCCAGTGTGTCCTGTGTCCTTACCATGTTCCCAGTGTGTCCCCATGCCCTTGGCACGTCCTCGGAGTGTCCCCAAGGGCTGGAGTGGCCCCCATGTCCTTGGCATGTCCCCAGAGCATCCCCAGGCACTTGGCATGTCCCCATGTCCTTGAGGTGTCCTTGGCATGTCCTTACGGTGTCCCCAAGGGCTGGAGTGTCCCCCATGTCCTTACCATGTTCCCAGGATGTCCCCATGCCTTTGGCATGTCCTTACCATGTTCCCAGGGTGTCCCCATGCATTTGGCATGTCCTTACCATGTCCCCAAGGGCTGGAATGTCTCCTATGTCCTTACTGTGTCCCCAACGTGTCCTCAGGGACCTGGAGTGTCCCCATGTCCTTGGCATGTCCTTGGCACGTCCCCGGAGTGTCCCCAGGGACCTGGAGTGTCCCCATGTCCTTGGTATGTCCTTGGCACATCCCCAGAGTGTCCCCAGGGACCTGGAGTGTCCCCAGGCCCTTAGCATGTCCTTACCATGTCCCCAAGGGCTGGAGTGTCCCCCATGTCCTTGGCATGTCCCCAGAGTGTCCCCAGAGACCTGGAGTGTCCCGGTGTCCTTGGTATGTCCTTGGCATGTCCTTGGCACGTCCCCAGAGTGTCCCCAG